AATGAAGGTTAATAAATTTAAACTGCCTTAAACAAACTAACTCAAACTGACCAAAACCTGATATATCTTGAATCTGCTTAAAGTAATCCCTTACCAATAGTCAATTACTTTAACTGAAGTTTAAAATTATTTTGTGTGTCAATATAGGCAGCTACAGTGGTTTTACTGCAGTCTTTCGAGAAAAATAGAGCTAAACTGGTGCAAATCACAGTAACCAGCCCTTACAACATGATATTTGTGAGGGGTGCGGGTGTGTGTTTTAAGCTGCCGGGTTAGAAGGTTTGTGCTTATCTAACATATGGCTCTCCCCAACTCATTTCTCCCCTCTGTTTGTAACTCATCCCTTCCCTTTCCTGTTGCATCAGGAAGCTGCAAATACAGTGGCTTCTGCAGGGCTGTTATAATTACCACAGTACACTGCAATTCTGAAACGTATGCAAAATAAGTTACAACTACTTCAACAAAGTTTTTGAACGCATTTAAATGTGGTTCTGTTGGCTTTCTAGAAATCTTTTGACCAACATACTTAATCCAAGATCAAAATACCCCCATGTCACCTTTTCATTAGGCCTACAACCTTATAAACCATAACATTCTCCACTAAGTAAGCTGTTTTATAAATAATCTAATGTAAAAATAGAGAAAAACATTCATTAGAAGCCAGAAACAGAGTTGTGAGGAAAAGCCAGTTAGAAAGTTCCTATTCTCCATGCACCACTTTTGTTATAGCTTCTCTCATAAAACAAGCAAAGATCAATTTTAATGAAGACTTTGGAGATGCAAAAAAAAGGCAAACAGAAACAGTCATATTTTCTTGCTAGCTACCAGGAGGAAAACACAAGTCAAATTACTATTTTTTTAACCTACTTGTTTGCAATAGTGTGCTGATGTTTTAGCAGCCATGTCAAGCTCCTGGGAAAAGGTTTTCTCCCCTCCCTTCCTTCCCCTCTCCTCCCCCCAGTAATCCTGGTTTAAAGGATCTAACCCTTCTGAAATGTGTTAACTCAAGCAATTTTTAACAGTTGGAAGTTTCAGAAGAAAAGAACCCAAAACAAAACAGCAGATGTTCAAGACAGAATCCTATTTTCTCTTCCATGTGAAGCTTCATGACAAAGATACTTTAAACAATAAAACTTCCAACTAGCTAAAAAAAAATACTGTTTACCCTGTTAGAAATACTAAACAAAAATTTTAAATTGTTAAATACAGTACGACAATCATATCACTCTTTGCAATCTATAACACTATGTCTGACAAGATAAGGTGCTTCCTTTCATTTCTTTCATTCAAGTCTGTATTGTAAGTATAGAAACCCTCTGACGGAGCACTTTTGCTCCCTTGAGAATAAAGCAGTACTTTACAAACAATCTTATAAACGCACTTAAAAATTTGAAATAGCTGATGTTTAATATAAGAGCTGAGTCCTGTTAAACCCAGAGACACTGATTAACATTGTATACAAATTAAAGAGAAATAGACCAGGTCAGTGCAAGGTGATGATACAAGATGGCTCAACTCTTGCAGTTCTGAAAGAAATCCAAACTAAAGTAATCCCAATTATTTAGGTAACCGAATGAACATATCTCTGTGTTCACTCCTTCAGCTCCTCAGTCCCCTCTCTAGCGCTCTGTATAGGCACAAACGGCATAACGCAGAATCAGTCTGCTCTCAGACCTTCAGTGGAGTTGCATGTTTTGAATTATGACCATGCCAAGACCTTATGGGTTTAATGAGGTTACTTCTCACACGCACATAGACACCACCCACAGGGTGAACTGTAACACTGTGGAATAATAAGTAGGATTGCAGGTGTAGCTTCTTTGTACGTTAAACCTGCAGAAAGTCTCCCAAGTGAAATCTCGTCCACGTTTTTAGCGTAAGACTGGCGGAGGTTTTCTTCCTTTAACCATCTCTAGAAACCCACCTCAATCTTCGACCTTTAACAAAACCCAGTCTGTGACACAGCAGTTGATGTTAACAGAGCTGCATGAAAAGATTAAATCAGCAGCTTTGTATGTCAGTCCTTAAACAGGCCAAACACCGAATCAGTGTTAAATTCCTCACGTGCAGCTACGCCCAGTTAATCTGCTTGAAAGCAGCAAACTATGTAAATCTACTTACACTGGCGAGGTAAACACTACACTCATCAACATGTAACGAGACCCAGGTTCCTGGGCAAAGCTGCTAAAAGGCGCAGAGACGCTGGGGCCGCGCAGCCCCGGCCGGAGGGACGCGGCGCTGCCCTCCATCCCCGGCGAGGCCGCTGCTCGCTCCGCGGCCTGCCTTCCTCCCTGAGAAATCCGAGACAGGCGAAATCTCACTGCACAGAGTGCTTTAAAATCCCTAATCAAATATCTGCACCAGCGCTGCAGACTCAAGGAGCAGATGGCTGGAGAAAGCCTAATTTTCCATTTACGATAATTTTACAGTGCGGTAGAAATATTTACTTCGGAGGAGCTCCTCCTCATTTACATGACAATAACGAAAGTGGGAGGAGGGACAGAGACTCATCAGGTTCCCAGCACACACAGACTGAGAGCTTCAAAAGCTTGTATTAAAGCAGGACATTGCATGTCATGCTTGTTTCTGTAGCATTCCCGATGCACACATGTGCATTCTTTGCATAAATTTTTACCAACAACGTTACTCGAGTTTTAGACTACGCCTACCTTTCTCGGATATGACACACGGTCACGGCTATTTGGACAGATTATTAGTGCAGACACTGTATGGTCTTTATGCTTTAACTGGCCTTGAATCCGCACTTCAAGAAAATTAGCAGATGAGTCACTACTCATTTCAGCAACATCTAACTTTAACACAAACCCGGTGGGAGTTTTTTTTTTTTTATGTGCTGGCCTGCTCATAATGCAGGAAACCCTATTGAAAATACAGCTTCGGAGACCATATCTTAGTATTCTTACAAGTACTCTAAAACAGAGGAAAAGACTAGGCACCACCCAATCGAATCTGACCTGAAACTGAGGGCGACGACTGGCTCCTACGTGCCCTAGTTACACGCCAAAATAGATATAACAGCCACTAAGCACAACACATAAGCACAGATTCTTTTATAAAATAAAATACACTTCTTTGGGGAAGCGAAAAGTATGGGTAAAACTATGAACCTACTGTAGCTAACTTGAGTTTTGTCAATGTTTTAAATGAAGCCATAATTTCATGTTACATTACAGTCCTTGTAAAATAAGTCAGGAAAGTATATTTTTGCCTTTTACCAACAACTCACACATCTTTTCACCATATTATCTAGGACTAGGCTACTTGAACCTTCTATAGACTCTAAAAACATAACAGAAAAGCATTAAAAATTAAATGCTCTTATGCCATTCTGATATCATGCATGTTACAGTACAGATAAAGAGATACACAAACTGTTCAAGACATTTTACTTTCATTTTTAAGTTATTTAAATTTTTTCTCTAGTTCATATAGTAGGTGCTGTTAGTATAGGAAATTTAGTGTCTCCTTTTACAGACATAGAATAAAATACAACTGTAAATTAACGAGTTACACAGAACATGTAGAGACTTAATCTGGGCTGTTTTTAATTACCAACAAGAGTTGAAAAATTAGGCTCATAGCGCTCTTCAGTATTTTTTGACACCAGTTCACCCCTGCAGGTGAGGTCTGAGTGAAAGGGAGATCAGAAAGTCAATCTTTAAATGACCTTAGTCCACATGAATGAAGTTAATAGTTTTCCATGGACTTAAGTGGAGAAAGGCCCAAGCCCCCGCTCCTTATGTAGGAAGTGTTTGAGTGGAGAATGGCTACATACTAACAAAAGAAACCTTTGGTACCCAGGGTCTTAAGACCACATAATGCCCCCACATTCATTTCTTTCTCTGCCTATTGAAAAAAAAAAAAG